CACCACCATCATCCTATCCTCAGAAGACCATGTCGACGGACCGGCTTGTTCTACTTCTTCTTTCTGCAGCTCCGGTGACTTGCTATTTGTTCGACGCATCGCATTTTACCTAAAATCGCAGCCTGCGTAACATTGCCTCTGCTGACGAACATAAATAATTTGCGCAAACTCTTTTCAGGGCAAGTCACCCACAACTAGAGATCAAGGGCTGCTCCGCTTACCGCGTGCATGTTGAAAGGGCCAGATGAACGGTCCTCAGAGTACCAACCTGCGGTGAATGTGATGGTGATGAACAGTGTGGTGGCAGGAGGAGGAAACAGCGTGTAAGGTCGTCGCGCACGCGACACCAGCAGCAAGTCCTATTGACCTCACGATGCATGTCTGATTCACCGGCGCGCGCGGAGCCGTCTGATTGGCCATTAATTCTTCGCACCGTGATTGGCTCTGTGGTGACCAATCAGAGATAAGAGGAAATTTCGTCAGCTATGGCTGACTGGAAAGGTAAACGAATTGATGCCTGCACAAGGCACGTGCCCATAAGCGTACAGAATTTCCCTAAGAATACGGTGGGCATAGGAGGACTTGCCTAAATACCCTTTAAAGCATCTCCGGATTTTTTGGCACTTGTTAATCGGGACGAGATTAGTCAATGCATCCGCGGCCATCAAAATTTATAAAGCACCTGATGTTGTAGCTCCCGACAACTGACTAAAAGCTGATCCTGACCATATCTGAAATGTTTTTAATACAAATGTATTAAGAGCATTTTTTGAGCCCTGATTGACACCGACGAGATTATTCGCAATCTGTGAAAATCCTGTTTTATCTTAAATAGCTTACTGACAGAGCTCTTTGACGTCACTCGACCTCCTGTTAGGGGAAGTGATTTCGCGACGTGCAACAAAAATGAAAAATCACCTCCTTTTGTGCAGATCAACTAGAATATCAGAAATTGCTCCCGTTTAATTGGTCCGTATTTTGAGGAAGAAAATAACAAATTAGTTGTTACGGGGGATTTAAAAATTAGGTTTTTAACCAAGCCTCGGGTGACGAGCAGCCCAATCTACGAGCATTGCAGGTAACAAGCGAGTCTCTTGCAGACAGTTTATTCCGACTGACAGGCGTCCGCTCAGTTAACGAGTTTTCAGTGTGTGTGTGTGTGTCTACCTGAGTCGGCCGTTGAATCCCAGGGCGTCACGCTGACTTGCATGTGAGTCAAAATATAGAGATAATGGATTTGCGCGATACCTATGGTACTGACTTTTCACTTACCCACCTGTTTTTTTTGGGAGGGGGTGGGGGTTGGAATCGAGTGCAGTGCATGGCAGAGCCTGATTCTGTGTGCAGTAAACGCTTGCTCCGCGCACAATGAACAATGGATGGGAGCGGCCCTGAGCCCAGCGGATTGAAAGTGTCATAGAGGCAACATTAGGATGGAGCTGTCGTGGCCCAATGGCGACTTCCTCCTCCCGCATCAGGCCATACATTATGTAATTGGATGGCCGTCTGGTTTCCCTGGGACAGCCAATCACAGGCGCCGCAAACTGTGCCAACGCACAACATCTCGCGGTGGCTAATAACTGCGGGGACACCAACGCCTGTCTCCCTAATCCATCTGGCCAATCACCTTTCAAGGCTGACCACTCTAGACGATTGTGAAGGTTCCCACGCTGGCAGACTGCGAATCCGTTCCCCTCGCGGCCAAACGTGGGCTAGTCCGACAGTCAACCTCCTCCTACCTATCCTTCACTACTTCTGTACAATATAAACTGTTCCTTCCATGTGGCGTCCAACTTCATCCCTCCCACAGGTAACGGGTCTGAAGGTCGCGGCGGTAAGGGTTTATCTGTTGACTTAACCTCCAGTGATTATGATGATCGCGATACACTAACTCAAATCACTGTCCATCCATCAGCAGAGCAATGTTTACACAAAATACATTCAGCTGACTGCGAAATCTGCGTTGATGCGGGCACCTGAAAGCCTTCCAAAATACTTCTTTTAGCAGACCCTCGTAGATTCTACCGCATTCGATAATTAATAATGAGGACTATGTGCCCACCTCACGCCCTCTTTCTTCTCTCAGGCACCAATCCGCCAACTACTAACCACTGCTGAGATCGGACGCAGTGGTTGACCGAGAAAACTAATCCGTCTACTCGTTCCAAGCGCAACCTAATTCCTCATATAACGCGCGAGGAAAGAGTGCAGGCCTTGTGATTTACACGTCAATGAATTTAAAATGAAAACTTTGCACAGCGTCTATCACCTACTTTCTCTCTTCCGACATTTACCTCGCTGGCGGTTTAATGCAATGAAAATACGCTTTGAGGTACGCGTGGGCAAGTGTTTTTTTAGAAAAGGTAATGCATTTACTTCTGTCGCTACCATGTGCACAAGGTTCCGCAAAAAGCGCCTCAGATCTCATATGAGTCGATTCTCATTAAGACCACATATGCAGTCTGAGTCTCAGTCCCTAGTCTGTCCACTTTATAGCGGCCTTAGCTCCAAACTGTCTATTTATTACCCCCCCCAATCCAAGGGATGGTATATTCTGGTCCAGGATGCAGCTAGAGCCAACTTTAGCCTTCCCACCGCTCATGGGTGAAGCGAAGGGTCCAGTGACCTCATTCACTCATGACAACACGCAATATAGACCACGAAAGCTCGAGGCTACCACCAGGATGCGGTCAGCATAGGCATTCGGATGCAAAATTGAGACCGGGAAAAACGTGAATGGTCATTCCGAGAATCCAGGTAGAGTGGCATAGTTGAGAGATTAGGCGACAGAATACAATCTGGTCGGACGTCAGACTGAATATCGAGCCGTTCAGGGAGAGAGAGAGGTAGCCTGCTAAGAACCAAAACTTACGCAGGGGTTGAGCGATCGTAGGTTCTGTTCAGGGTAATTATTTCAGCCGGCACACTATATGCTGCCATTATCCGCCACAGGGAAAGATGAGGGATGGAATCGAAAGCAGCGACAATTTTAACAAAACAGGCGACGGTCCGTTGTTGTTGTTGTTGTTGCTGTTATTAACCGGCCCTGTAGAGATTCGAGGTCTGTATGCATATGCAATGTCAGACTTCAGCAAACCCTGGTCCCTGCGGCCTGGTAGGCGCTGGCACTTTCTCTCGGTTCTGATTTCTTGTCGGTGCATGCGTTCGCGCTCCCACTGGGTTTTAGGCCTCAAATCAGGTGACCGATCAGCTAGGCGGTTGGTAAACGGTGGGGGAGAGAGTGAGGTCGACTCTCAGCGCGCTTCTTCCCTCACTGTAATCAAGCTAATGCGCTTGAATCTATTACGGTGCGCTAAAAGCCATGGCTTGGAGGGTTTGCCAACTCACGGGATAACTCCAGCCTTCTGCGTTGTTGTTCCTGTAGTATGCCCGTGTTTGTGTAGGCGTATGTAAGGAGTAGGAGGATTGAAAGTCAGGCTGTAATGGATCCTTCTTAATATGGCGTTTATGGCGCTCCCCCGCGCGCGGGAGCCTACATAGCGAGGCGTGCTGAGTCATGTGTACGCATGTTGAGGGACTATCGTGCCAGCCACCTACACCCTCTCTCATCCCCGGTCTTATTGACCTTGTCTTTACACCGGAAACGGAGGTGGCAGAGGGTAAATTCCCCGCGAGTCTGCTTTCATCCTTTTTTCACTTGCGGTAGTTCGCTGCGTTGCCTCAGCTTGCTGTAGCCTTCGTGCAGATTGTCCAGCTTGCCTCAGTGTGGGCTTCGGCTTGCTACAGCGTTTGATGCGGCTTGTTGGAGCACGCGACTGCCCATCGTCGAAATCGACAGGGGATTGTTAGGTTACTCGGCCCTGTACCCATGAATCATACATAGCATGTGCTTGCTCGGCTTGCTCAACACGGCATGGACACGAGGTGCCATGAGAATATCGCAGGGGGTTAAGTGAGTCAAACCCAGATTCAGACCATGGTTACTTAGTGCAGAAGAGAAGTCGTTAAAGGCCAGAGTAGAGGGAAGAGTTTATTGTGTACACAAGGGAAAGGAGAACAGATAGAGGAAGCCTGACTTGGGAGACACGTCCGCTCATGAGATTGACCGGGTCACAAGTGCCGTTTTAGTGGCAGTCAG